TTTGCATTGCACTTGGTGATGTATGGCTTGGATGCAGCTGCTCGACCATGGAAACCCATTCCATGAAGCTCTCTGCGCACTGTTCTTGAGCTAATCTGAAGGCCACATGAAGTTTGGAGGTCTGTAGTGATTGACTCTGCAGAAAGTTGGCGACCTCTTCGCACTATGCGCGTCAGCATCCGCTGACCCCGCTCCGTCAGTTTACGTGGCCTACCACTTCGTGGCTGAGTTGCTGTCGTTCCCAAACACTTCCATTTTCTTATAATACAGCTGACAGTCGACTGTGGAATATTTAGGAGCGAGGAAATTTCACGACTGGATTTGTTGCACAGGTGGCATCCTATCACAGTTCCACGCTGGAATTCACTGAGCTCCTGAGAGCGACCCATTCTTTCACAAATGTTTGTAAAAACAGTCTGCATGCCTAGGTGCTTGAATTTATACACCTGTGGCCATGGAAGTGATTGGAACACCTGATTCCAATAATTTGGATGGGTGAGCAAATACTTTTGGCAATATAGTGTATATTTGCTGTGATCAGTGGGAATAAAGTAGTTTTATTATGTTTTTAAGTGAGAAAGTCCACCTGAAAACTTAATCGGTGCAGTCAGTTCATCCTGATTACCATCCTGCCTTTCAATATTATTTCTGTCGGAGCCGCTCAGACCCCCACATACCAGCAGTGCGCTGTCAGTAGGATTCCCATTCAACGGGCTTTTTTGTCTCCTGAGAAAGCAGACATGTTAATTTTTCTAAAGAAAAACTGCTAAGTAAAAAGGTCCTCACAATGTAACAGTGAATATTAGACACTGACTTGTTTGCAACTGTTCTTCTTCGCTGAAAAAAAAAAATGTATGTAAGAGGAAAAATGTAAATGGAAAATTCAGAGTTTAAAATAAAACTCAAGTATTGTACTTTATTATGTTGTGTAATTTTCTTTTTCTTCGAACTGATATTATAAAACTGGTATCGAAAAAAGTATCGTTCAGGAACCGGTATCGAAGTCAAGGTATCGCAATTGGTACCGGCACCGAAAATTTTTGAACGATACCCAGCCCTAGCAATGGATAAACTTGCGAAAAAAAAGTAAAGGTAACATTATTCCTGATTATTGATACTTCCTGCCTGCAGCCGTCAACACCTACAACACCAACACCTACAACACCTGTTTAAAAAATAACTTCCATACAGAAAGCCCATACTCTTATCTTCAGCTACCGCAGTATACATGTCAGATTAAATAATACGACTTATACTTCAGCGATGGTATCAATTGTATCTCTTATACGATATCCGTTGGCTGTGCTGTTCTTTTTATATCTCTTTGCAGGTGATGAAGCAGACTGAAGATATTTTATCATTGTCTCCCTTTTATCTCCTCTTTCTTTCATCTTTTCTCCTTTTTCCTGTTTTTCCTTTCCTGTTCTACTGAAATTGCAGTCTCCATATAATCAGTAAATAATCCCTGCATTAATTATAATAAAGCTATTTATATGCATAAATCAAGCAGAATACTATGGCGAAAGCTGCACTGCTCCACTTGTGAAAGCAAAATCTGTTAGGCTCTTGACTTAGAAAAGAAAGAAAGAAAAATAACGTATGAGTTACCGGAAAGTTTCATTTCACTTTGGGATTAATAAATTAATTTTCACTGAATGAATTCAACCAATGGATCATGTTTTTTTTTTATGGGATGGTAAAATTCCTCAGGAGCCCATCGCTGGTCAGAACCAATGAGACAGATCAACTTTAACGTTAATTTAATAATTTATTTAAGCTTTCTTATTTGTAAAATATGTTCAATGTCATCTCAAATTTTTCATTTTTTTTAAGTTAATCATTTGAGTTGAAATTTTAATCATTAGGTTTTTAACCATTTATCTATCAAGCGTTCCAGTTAATTTATTGTAATGAATAATATGAGGTTTTGGATGTCAGGATGAGCTGGCTCTGATCTGAGCTCCTGCTGCTGGGGGGTTTATGTTGTTGTTGTTTTGACGCTCGCGCTGCAGTTTGAGTCCTTCTGTTGTTACGCAGATAGATTTAGTCTCACCTGCTGCGTTTCATGGAGAAGTTCCGCTGGGAAATAACCGGTGGTTTTCGGGGCAATTTGGGCCGCAGCAGCTCCAGGAACGGTCCTCCTCCTCACTTCTCTGGCATTGTGGTAGATTTAGTACTTTATTTACTCCTTTTCCTCTTTCTGGTTTTCAGCCATCTTCTGTCTGTGCGCGCCTCGACACGCCCCCCCGTCAGCTGCTCAGAAAGATACAGAGAACAAAGCAACCAATCAGGATTCAGAAACGTCAGCACGTTGGGCTTTCCTCCAATAGGAAATGTGGAAGGGAGGAGCCTGTCAGGACTGGGTCACATCCTTCTCTTAGCCACGGGAGCAGAAACAAAAGGCGAGGACGGGGCTTAAAATTCCTTACATGTCCTTTAGTGAGGCGAGAAACCTGTAAGTTGGTTCTGAAAACTAACCTAAAGGGTTCAGAGGTAACTCTGACGCTACTTTGTCAATAGAGGAACTTTTTTTTCTACCTCAAATTTTTTTGCAGTAGAAAAATGCAGATGATATCAGTAAGACCAAACTTTAGTCTTAACCTTTATAGTTTTTGTTTTCAACTAGTTGTGGTAGATGCTGTAGCCAGGAAGGATCATCTGTCTTGCATTAGATGTTTGTTTGCTTTAAAAGTATAGTGTATGATTTTTGTCTTTTTTTTTTTAAAGACTTGCCCTCTCCACTGTAAAATAAAAAAAAAAATTCATATGCACATCCCTATACCAGGGAAAACCTATTAAGCGTGTGCAAGAGCATGCACAAGCCCATTTCTCCTTGTGCACGCTCGGTTTAAAAGTTGCTGTTCTCATAGCTCATACAAGCTTACTGTACTGTGCCTGCATGTCCACCCTAAACCCCCAAACCCCTCAATCACTATGTAGAGCAGGGACTATATAGTGGACTTTATATGAACTCAGTTACCGTAAATCTTCTAATATTGGCCGCTATTCCACTAGCGGCCGGGTCTCTAACAATGGCCTGTCTGGCTGTCGGTGGAGGTAAATAATGGCCGGACTCGTATACAGGCCGGAGCTATATTTAGAACCAACAATGTTCCTGGGCATTCCTCAACAACTTGTTATAGTCACATACAAGTACCACAGGGAGGCAATGTTTGCTAACGAATCCAAACCATTAGCATGGGAAGTCCCATCCTCACACAGAGATCGTAGTGGCCTTACACAATAGTTCTTATCTGAAAGACACGTGATTACCAGTAAGTCTGGTGGTAACCAGGCAGCGTTAAAATTACAGAATTTCGTTGGCTTTTGTTGTTCTGAATTTCCCTTGAAATATATGATACTGGTAGCCTACTTCCACTTAGCCCGCCTCAAATAAAATTTCGCTGTGATGGCAGAACAGTTTCCATTAACTTTTTTAAAACTTTGTTTCGCAAGTCAGTTTGGCCAAGATTCCATTCTGTTTTTTTGTATTGCCATGCAGAAAAATTGCAGCTGCTGGAAGATGTCTGAATAATGTTCTGTATACCGTTATGGTAAATGTACTTTTTCAATAAATTAACCTAGTATTTTATAGGTTCAAAGAGACACAAAATCTTGTTTTTATTCATTCCACTGGTAGTATGTTTTGATCAAATAGAAATAGAGGCCTGCGTCTAATTCTGGCCTCCTTGACATTAAGGAGGTCCACTTATTTAGATGATCCACCCGGAAAAAGAAAATCCACTCCTCCAATCCAATCCTCCACTACACCTCTAACAGTCCTATGAAGAGGATGCTCTGGGATGTCCAGATTGTTCCTTTCCTCTGTGAAATCGTCTGCAGAGTTTCTAGAGAACAGAGCCGACCTTTGTCATTAGCTGGTTGAGCTATTTCAAGTAATTTGCTCTGATGCTTTTACCAGCAGATGATGGAGTAAGAGATCACACTCTCCATAACAGACATAAGGAAGATATGTAACAACTTGCCGCAAATGCTGAAGAACCTTAGCTTCCATAAAAGGTACTTCTTTGTCCCTTCTTGTAGATGGTTTTACAGTTGTGTCTCAATTGGAGTTTGTTGTCCAGGTGAATACTAAGGTCTTCACCCATGATGTTAATAGGATGCAACTTCTTCCTGTTTCTTCTGAAATCTACAATCATCTCCCTTGTTTTGTTGACATTCAGGATATGATTATTGTTTCCACACCATGCCAAAATAGCTTCACCAGTTAGAGTATTTCTGCGGATGAAAGGACAGCCTGGTACTGCAAGTAAAAGGTGTGCAGAATAAAAAGGAAGACTCCTATATCCACTTTCTGCTTACTTTGTTACTTTGTTTTTGAAAACCACACTTTGATTCCTTGGGGTGCGTCATTTTTCAACCACGGACGTTTTATCCACACTGCTGCTTACTTACAAATTTTGTTGTTCATTTGATTTCTTCTTCATTGTCACTGTGTCAATATACTCATGAGGGGGTCACTGTATTATATTTGAATCATATAGCGGAACATATCTTTTGGGGCCCTCCTCAGACATTGGCATTTTCCTAACTCCCCCCCATACGGCCCCTCTCTACTGTACTTCCTACCCTCATTTATGGTCATGACAGAAAGGACGAGATCTCGGATACAGGCGTCTGAAGTTAGTTTTACGCGGAGGGTGTCCGGGCTCTCCCGCAAAGAAGCTCAGTCATCGGAAGGGGGCTCGGAGTAGAGCTGCTGCTTCTCCACATCGAGAGGAGCCAGACAAGGTGGCTTGGGTATCTGGTTCTGATGCCTCCTGGATTCGTCAGGTTTTCTTAGCGTGTCCCACCGGGAGAACCAGAGGAAGACCCAGGACACACTGGAGGAGCTTTTTTTTCTGGCCTGCCTGGGAATACCTTGGGCGGTGGACCTGGTGGACCTGGCCGACCCCAGCCAAGCGGAACAAAAAAGCTGGATGGATGATCAAGATGCTGTACCATAGTAATATCCTAGGGTGAAGTCATGAACATCTCAATAATATTAATAATAATAATGTTTATTATTTGTTTTTGGAATAAAAACAGGCAGCTGTGGTTGCTCTAACATGAGCTGTGCTTTAAATCTTTGGTTACATCATTTGTATAAAAACATAATTATAAAAAAAACAAGTGCTCACTGAGTGCGTGCAAAACAAAACAAAATAATACTGCCATAAACATCAAGTACAAACAAAAAACAAACTCACAGTGACAAAAACTGTACCGGCAAAACCCTGAAATCCCCTACATTTTCCCCTCTGCCTTCAGGAACTCCTGGCTGCAGATGCTGTCCTCAAGATGGTGGAAACACTTCAGAAACATTCAAGACTAAAACCCACTTCCCCCTCTGTGTGTTGCATGGAGTGGCAGGAAAAAAACATGTATAAAATGGTGACTTTATGCATCAGTGTGATCTGTGTTAAGAGTTGGGGTTAGGGTTCTGTTGTAACCCCAAATATTGCTTTGCTTTCTTGGGACCTGGGTTTAGTGAAAATGAGAAACACTTGGCGACGTCTGCAGCCAGAGCTTTCTCAGAGCAGGACTCTAGACTGCAAGCATCAGAGCGATGGCGTCTGGAATCTGCTCTCTTCATCTATGAAAAATGATGGCTTCAAAGGTGCAAAATAAAAGTTTAAAGCTGAAAAGGTCCTCCAACACTTTTGGAAAAACAACCAAATTTTAGAATCTGAATTTTAGCTGATTGAAAATCAGATCAATCCTGGACTCTTCCCTTTGGTTTTCCTCATCTTTCTGTTCCTTCCCACCACATCTACAAACAGATGTTGATCTGCTTTGCAAGCTCTCGGTCCAAATCATGAATCAGGGTGTCAAAGTCCTTTAAGCTGAGTCGACAGTTAAACGGAGCATCAAAATCTATGAACTCATCCACAAAAAGACCTCCTCCTGCTCCTGATGACCAGGCTTTCTTGTGCTCCTCCTCCTCTTCTTCTTTGCTGCCTGAAACAAGAAGAGCAGAAAGAACCTGTGGGATTTCGTTCCATTTGAATCCTTCGAGTCTAAACCTTACTACTTGTAAAGACTTTACCTCCTTCACTCTCACTTCCTGCCACCTCATCGTAGTCGGCTTCATACTCGGACAGAAGGTCTTGCCCGCAGACAGTCCAGTCCCCAGCATATCTGTTGATGGATGGTGGACTCTCCAGCCGGGGCAATCCGCCGCGCCCTCGCCGTGAAACCACCACTTCCTCCCCAGCATTGGGGAGGAGACCCAATCCATAGCTTGGTTGGACCTGGAGAGGCTGGCTGAGGGTGGGATAGCATGGAGGAAGGGGGTCGTCTGCTGGAACTCGTTTTGTCGGCACTGAGGAGTAACATAAGGATGGTAAAATATAAAAGTTTTAATTGAAACAGCAATGAGTGAGAGACTGCAGGGCGTCACCTGGCCAAAGCTGGAGCAGGTAGTGCAAGGCCTCAATATGGCGTTTGAAGTCAACCGCGTTTGTGATGTCTTCAACAGGACCAAAAGCCTTCCCTGCTCCTTTTCCCGACCTACTTGCTCCTCTTTCTGCTCCTCCGCTATAAGCCTCCTGAGTCGGTGTCAAGAGTACCGGACCAAAGCAAACTGCCAGGTTCTGGTGTGTCATTCTATTAAAAGAGCTGAAGGATGCTACCAGGCTGAGGTGGTCGAGCAGGAGAGAGAGTGTGGCCTGAGGGAGGAAAGTTTTAATGAGAGAATTATTCAGTAATTGATATCAAATAATTATTTTTCAGACTTAGAAGCTAAATCCCCTGAACTCCTGACTGTCAGACTGAAGACACGGCTAAAGTTCCTGACCAGTTTTTTAATCCAAGTAAAGTCCAAACTTCCCAATCCTGTGAGCAGGTTTAGAATGTCATCTTTGGCTTTGATTTTTACCGCCGCCAAGGAAGTTACGTTTTTAGTTGAGTTTGCGTGTCTGTCTGTCTGTGTAGAGTATAACTTTTAAAGCTATGAACAGATTTTAATAATATTTTTTACCAAAGGTGCACCTCAGTCCAAGGACCAATCCATTAAATTTTTGTGATCATCCAACTCGTAATCTGGATACAGGAATTTTTTTAAGGATTCTTTAACATTAATTGACAGAACAAACAGTTCCCCCGTAAACCATAGAGTGGCAGCAGTGAGCATTGACAGCTTCAGCCTCAGACTCAAAAAAGTCCAGAAGTATTATACTGAAGAAAGGAAAGGTGAGCCGTGTCATTACCCGATCCGTACCGGAAGCACGATCCGTACCATCAGCTCATTTGCGCGTGCGCAAACAGAATAACTTCCGGTGGCAATATTTCCTTTTTCTTACTTATTTATTCTTTTGTATTTTTTAGAAGCATGGGTTTCTTTTTGTATATCTTTGTATTTTCGTCAATATTGCATTTTCTAAAAATAAAAAACAGAAATACATAAAAAAGTTCAATCGCCTTGTGATAGTTACTTTGACTGTTCTGAGCATGCACAAATATACGTCACACAACGTATATATTTAAATTTGTTTAAATATTTGATTTACTCCGTTCTTAACTATGCACTCCAGCAGTACTGATCCCACAATGGATTCATTTGCTACATTTCGTGACCTGCAGTTTTTCATTGATAAGGGAACATTTCCCGAAAATTTGGATTTTTATTCCAGAAAAATGACGTCAAGCAATACAATGGATTGAATTTAAAAAGCATCCATTTCTTCCAGAAAAGTCTTCAATATTGTCTTTACAATGTAGTTTAGTATTCTTTAATTATTTAAGGATATAAATAAAGTTTTTTCAGTACCGTAATTACGTTATTTTTTGGCGACCCGGAAGTTATTCTGTTCGCGCAGGCGCAAATGAGCTGATGGTACGGATCGTGCTACCGGTACGGATCGGGTAGCGACAAGCCATGCCTTGCTCCAAGTCTGGATCTGCTGATCAAAGAGGAAAGCAAAGTGAATGAAGGTGAGAGCAGAACAGACACCAGAGGTTGCAACTCAAAGTATTTCAGTTTGTTTTAAACACCTGAATGGAAATTCCCCTTTTCTGCTCTCATCCAGGCTTTAATATCACAACATTTACATAAAAATGTACTAAAACCTTAAAAAATTGAGTTACCTTTCATTTCTCTACTTCTGCGGGTTATAGGGCCTATACCACAGCTCTTAACAATATCTCAAATGCAGTAAGTCACAATGTAAAGTCTTGTTTCCTGACATTCTTTTCAGAAATGATTCTTTAATCTTGTTTACACCTTCTACACTTTCTTTGTTAAATAAATAATGACATGTGGATTCTATATTTGCACACAAGGTCATTTTAGGACCAATACATTTTAGAACAGATAGAGGGTGTACAGTGATTTAGACACAGTGATACGTAGACGAAAGCCGGGCATCCATCAGCCTAATCATCAGAGATAGATGAACTTATTAATATTGGTGAATCTTTATCACCATTAAGATTCACACTCAGACTGATCACCCTGAATAGGTGTTCTTTAGAACAAGAGTAATAGTTGTACTACTCAGTGTTACCTTCTCAGGTTCTGGTAGACATGATAGAAGTTTAACAGTGCACTGGGCCACTTCGGGGTCAGGGGTCTCAGGTGGGGGTCGTAGCATCATGGCCTCTCGGACCACCTGGTACAAAGTCCTCGTGATTAGAGGAGATGGGAGCTCCCGCAGGTAGTCCTTCAAAATACCTAGACAAAAACAACCGGTTACATTCAGTGTGGCTTAACTTAGTTTATTTATATTGCCCCAATTCAAAGCTAATATTGTCCTAAAGCACTTCAAAATAAAAGTAAAATAGTCATTTAGAAAACAGGATAATAAAGTCAAGTTAAAGTCTTGATCACTTAAGTCAAGTGTTAACTAAATCTTCTTTCACTGACCAGTGAACGGTCAGATTACCAAGTACAGCAATCAGTGATCAGGTTCCAGTCCTGTTCACTCTTATTAGATTAAACATGAACTTAGATAACATTTGGGTGTCACAAGTTATACCATGACAGTGTTTCAATGAAACTACATGAAATCATTAGTCTATGAGTCCATCAGTTATGGAGAAAATTTTCTAAATAGATTTGTGTCTGTAATGCTTGATTTGATATTTTGTCATTTGTAAATAACATTTTGTGCATAAATTCAGGTGTTCAAAAACAATTAGAAATATAATGAGATTATGAATTCAAAATAAAAGCATATACACAAATCTGATGTTTACTAACTCAAAAAGATTCCTGCATATAAAAACAGAGGTGGGTAGTAATTACTTACCGGTATATATACTCAGTTACATTTATGTGGAAAAAATATATATATTTTTAATTACTTTTAGGAGTAGGTTTACTGTGCCATACTGCTAACTTTTACTTTCTTGTAAAGTACTGTACTGCCAATCTAGCTGCTTTGTCCTCTTTAGGTAAATTGAACTATTCCAAAATCAGGTAAACATAGAGTAAACATCAGATATTTACAGTGGAAGTTTGTTACCCTGTTCTAACAAGGATTGGTTTTCTACATTTTATTTTCAAAATAAATTAGGTAAAAGTATTTCTTCTGCACAAATTTGTTCTTTTATATTGATGACATTTATTTGTATTCTTTATGCATTGAATCTTTAAAATGCCAAAACTTGCACATAAGGTCTGTTTGCCAGCATCATTTCTAAACATTAAATCTGATGTTATTATCCAACAGTTACTCAAGTAGTCTTTCTATTGAGTACTTTTTTACTTTTACTTGAATAATTCCTGGATGACTACTTTTTACTTTTACTTGAGTAAAAACATGTTTAAGTAGTGCTACTCTTACTTGAGTACAATTTTTGGGTACTCTACCCACCTCTGTATACAAACCATTAAATTCATGTACGCAAATCACATAAAATACACAGACAGAATGACAGTTACACACAATTCAGGTTACGACTGCAGAAATTTTTTGAGAGACATTACACACTAGCAGAAAGCTTCCAGAGTCTTGTGTACATGGTGCGTTTAAATGCTGGTAAAAAGCTCGATCATCTGAGTTTTGTTCAAAGTCCAACATTATTTTTCTGCTGAACTTATTTCACTCTATACTTGTGCCAAACTGGCAAAGATGTTTTTCTGTGGAAAATGGAATACATCAGCACCACTTAGTTAGAAGAAATGCAACAACATGTACTTTTTGTTATTCTATGTTTATTCTGAGCTGTACAGATATACAAGGAGTACGTGGGGTGGATTAGAGAGCAGGTTTTTTTGCCTTTTGTATACTATATTATGTAACCTGATTTGTGTCGAACTGTCGTTTTATCTGAGTGTTTAATGAGATTTGTTTACATTAATTTAATGGTTTGTATATGTAGGAGCCTTTTTGAATTTGTAAATAGATGTGGTGTGTGTTTTTTTATTTTGTATTCATAATTTATCGCATAACTTCAGGAACCTGAAGTTATGTAATAAAATGTTATTTACAAATTACAAAAAAATACATATCTAGCATTACAGACACAAATCTAATTTGAAAAATGATTCTCTCAATAACTATTCATCTAGTCTTGTTCAATTCTACTTCAGATGCAGTACTCAGGCCTGTATCAGTTTATGTCTCCTGGACGAGAAGTTCTAGAAGGTTCAGTACTCCAGAACCGGGCTATGATCCTTGGCTCTGCTCACTGACCTGTGATTACATTGATGTCAGGATAGAGGTCCTCTGATAGACACACAGCTGAACTGTTCTTTTCGAACCCGTCTCTGAGTTCCTTCTTCACGGCGGCAGAACCGCACAATCGGTACAGACCCACCACCTAAAAGAAACCCAGAATTCATTACCTCTTGAGGTGGTGTCCTGTGTCCAGGAAATTTCTCAGATAGTAATGGGAGTGTCACCTTCAGTCCACGTCTCTCTATCTCTGCCACTGTTTTCTGGATCAGCAGAGGAACTGGAGATGCAGATCCTTCTTTCTCCACCAGGTGGTGGAGCTCAACCCCAAACACATTAGAAGGTGTTGATGGATCCCTTCCATGCTGCTGACACAAAGGTTCACCAGTGACTCCTAGGTGGTCACACGACTCTGTAATAGCAGTATTTGTGCATTTCTATATATCTCTATCTAATTTACCTGTGTCTCCCATTTTTCCTGCAGAGAAAGTTTTACATAGAGAAGACCTCTGGGCTCCAGCTTTAAGCAGAGCTGCTGACAACGACTCCCTGAAACAGAAATGCACATTAACATTTCTGGCTCAACTGAACCATAATTTTGTCTCAGCAATTTATAAAGCAGATTAATCATCAGGCAGAAGGTTGTCGCGCACCTTTAAAAAGTGGTGGAATGGAGACCCCCCCCAAGCAACACACTCGGTTCCTGGTTGGACCACTCTGAAGAGTAAGAATGTCTGTTTTGACCCCGCTAAATGCCGGAAGAGGAGCTGCAGAAAAAAAAAACAGTCATGAAACAAACAGTTCCTAATAAGAGCTACATGTTTGTTTTGTTTTTTTATTTATTTAAGAATAAATTAAGGTTAAATTAGTTAAAGATAAAAGGGAGAAACAAGAACAATTGGATAACTTTAATAAGCATGATTGTAGAAACAAGAACTTACAGAGCAGGTAAAAAATTTGTACATTTTATGAAAATCTGTGAGACACAAAACTGATTCAAACAGTGCAAATAATTCTGGAGCAGATCAAGGACCTATGCAACCAGTAGTGTGTATGTGAACAATTACTCACTTGACCTTTTGGGAGCAGCAAAGATTAATCTAAGTACAACAGCAACTGGAAGAGAGCATCTGTGGTAGCACTGTAGCACTTCTGTATTTATGATGCAGCAATCTATCATTGAATTAAAACTCATGTCATTTCAAAAATACTTTACTAATCCCAAAGGGAAATTATATATTGCAGTAAGGTTTTAATAAGGTTTGTTTTTTGTCCTATTTTAAACAGATGTTGTAGGTGTTGATAGCTGTACGCAGGAAGGATCTTCTGTAGTGGTTGTCCATAATTTACTTCACTTTATGAAGAATTCTTCTTGGTGAAATAATCTGCAGATTTTCTAGAACATAGCTGGCCTTGTTGAGCTTTTCTAAGTCATTAGCTCTAATACTGTTACCCCAGCAGATGACAGCAGAAGAGATTGCACTCTACACAACAGTTTTGTGGAAGGTCCTGCTCTGTCCCTTCTTGTACACAGCTTCACAGTTATGTCTCCAGTCTAGTTTGTTGTTCAGCAACACCAAGGTATTTATACTACTCAACCACCTTCACTTCTTCTCCCTTGATGTTAATAGGATTTAACTTCAATGAGCTCTGAGACAACTTCAGGCACAGGGGTAGAAGACATTATGTTTCGTGCAATACTTCTTTCTCCTATCACCTGCACTGTCCAGGGGACATCCTTGGGCAGAGCTGGTCCCCCAATAAGCTTATCCAACAGCTTTCTGCACATACTTTAAGCTGCTATCTCGTCTTGACTTGTTGTGCCTAACTTGAGTCACAAGAGGGAGTCCAAGTCTGGCTTTTCCGATTGATTTATACCCTCTGGTTTTCAAACCATATTGTAAAATTAAAATAAAGTTAGAAGCAAAGTTTTCCACAATACAGTTATCTCCTACATATAATACAAATATGGCAAAGAACCACAGACACACCACACACAATGATAAAGGTAGAATGTTACACAGAAACCAACTTTCCACAGCACTATGGATGATCACCAGCGTGTGGCAGTGCTACTTCCACTGCTCTCACACTGTGAAATATTTTGGAATAAATGTGAGTGCAGAAGGATTGTCCATTGAGGATTGTCTGGGTGTTTGATTTATTCTTTTTATTTTCCTTTTTTCACAGGAAGCAAATGCTAGTGAACATTGGTGTTATTTAAATTTAGCTTGACTGCTGGTGAAAGGCTCTTATACTCTACCTGTTGGACCTAGTGTCTTCTTTTTGGGTTATCGAGGTTAATATTTCACCCCAACCTGTTTGTAATTGTCTCTCCAGCTAAAATTCTCAAGCTAGCATAGCTTGTGTTTAAAACACACAATCTCCCAGACATGTCCAACCTGTGATCTGGTACTTCTGCTGTCAGCCAAAATTAAATCGGGTCTCCTTACCTGGTGTTAAAACTACAATGCGGAGCTGCCGGGCCCTCTCCAAGTCCAGGTGAAAGGTGTGATTTAATGGCAGGTTGGGGCCTTTCAGGGTCAAGAGGGCAGTCCTGGCTCTTGTCACCCCATCAACCTGGATGGCTAAGAAGATCTCTTTACTGTCCTCTGATCTAGGGCCAAAAATAACAGACAGTGAGGACTACCTGTACTAAAAACTCTGAACTCCTGAGGCAGAATAACATGTCTACTAAGTGATGAGAGATGTTTGGGTATAGAAACACCCAAACCTAAACCTTCCTAACAGCAATTCTGGACGTTTCCTACTTCATAGGGGGCACAGTTGAGTCAAAGTTCTATGTCATTAGAGAAACCTTCTTATATCTTACATTCTTTTCCTATTTTTATCAATTTTAAACAAGCATATTAATTGGTTAAGTTAAATTGCTCCCTAGAAGTGATATTCTGTGCTTCCTTGTCTGTATTGTGTTTCTTGACCAATGACGATGCTAGAGATAACCCCCCCCCCCCATTACTGTCCTTTGCTCAGTAAACCTTAAAGTCGTAGGGAAACGGCTGTTCCAACCGTTGCATTTCCGAATTCTCCCAAGTGGTGCCCGACTTGTTTGAGCCCATGGCTTTTTCTCAATTCACTAGAACGCGAGTACAGACTTGTGTTCTTGCCAAGTATGTTCTTGAGAAGAACACAGGAAAGTCTGCACTCTGAAAGAACGGGAGCACATAGCACAAATCTGGGTCAATTGGAATAGAGGCGTACTCGTGACATTACCACACACTTAGCTCATCTAGAGCTGCATTTCACCTCCTGTTATTAATAGTCTCTAGATAATAATAAATTATTTCTTTTTTCATTTAGAGGGGGAATAACAATGAACACAGTCAGATAAATCAAATGAAGATTTTGCCAAATAAAACAAAAAAGAAAATTGCCATCAGAGTCAGTGGTCCTTCACACTAAGCTATGCCGAGAGAGGGCTGCTGCAGACAGGCTGCGGTTAACATTGGAGCTAAGGTGGTTGCCACGGTGCTCTCAACTTCACAAATCTTTTTTTTTATTACGCATTAAATCGGTAAATGGACCATATAGTGTCTCTTTAAAGTATAATATTCTCGCCTCAAATTATCTTAAAACGTACTTTTATTGAACAACAGAAAAGAGAACTTTTAACTTTCAATGGAGCGCTCTATTGAAAGCTGCTGCTGCCGCAGTGCATGCTGGGACAGCTGTCAATCTCAAGAACGGAGAAGTTTTCTCTGATGCATACTCGATAAAGAGGGCAAGAACAACATCCGGGGATTTGGTGCGTTCTCGGTCTGGCGTTCTCGGCAATTGGAACAGTGCTCGGGCTGAGGCTGATGACATGTCACGAGCACACGAGAATGCTCAAGAGCGCATATTGAAAAACAGCCCTTGTCTTGCAACGCTGCCAGTTCTGTTAGCTCTACGCCTGCCGAAGACATAGACATCCATCACCGTGAACACTGGGACGTAACTCAATGGTCAAGTAAATTATTCTTATTTCCTATTTCAGCCGTTGCGTATATTAGCTGCGACATATGAATCAAGATGCTATGATCGAAAAAAAATTTGATTGACAGGTGACCGTTATACGATTGTCCGAATTTAGGTGTACAAGCTGACGTATAACTAACTGGCCTGCATAAAAATACGGTGAAACACAGATTTTAAGACAGGATTTTTTTTGTGAAATTGTCAAACTTTTGGGACAATATCATATGATAAAGAGTTAATTTATATACAGGTTTAAGCCAGAATGATTTGACATTTAAATATGAATTCCATATGACTTTAAGAAGGTCTATGGACACATACTTGAATTGAATGAATACATTGACCAGTATGATATCTTTTTCAGCTCTAGTTTTACCTGCTATTCTTCATGTCTTCAAGGCCCAGCAGATGGACAGTCAGTAATCCCGTCACACGCTGACTGCATCGTGGTGGATCTGAACCAACATACAGGCGAAACGAACTAAGATCACATGGAACTTCTTGGAGCCTTGTGAGGTCAGCACCCTGTTGCCGGGGTAGCAACTCTGGTGAATCGCCATCACTAAGATAACCTGGTTGAAAAAAAAGAAGATTTTATTTTTCGCAGAGTTCTTGATGGAGAATTTATATTAGCAGGTTGATCAATTAATTCATGGATATGGTATTTAAATTCTGCAATTTGCTGTTTTTTTTTCTTGTACATGTAGGAGCATCTGGTTCATCCATACTAGCTCTTTAGGTTCCAACTATTTAGTAAAGAATTAAGATTTTGACTTGATATAATATTCGGAAGAAAAAAAAAACATTTTAAATGATCTCCTACATTGACCATTATAGGATTTTTTTTAAAATAGTTTCAAAAAATCCCAAGAATATAGTTAGTAGCAAAACTCTACAAATTGAAATTCCTATTAAAAACAAGCTGCGCCTGTCAACAGCAGATTGTGTAATTTAAAATGTTCCGATTGTGCGGTTCTGCCAAATCATCTCTAGAGCTCAGATAATAAACTGTTTGCCAGAAGAAGTTTCCAGTCAAATTATTAACCATATCAGCTTAACCTTGTTACTCTACCTTAATTGCTTAATACAATTTACCATTTTAGAGTTCTGACAGTAAATGCGAAGTCATTTGCTCAGTTGTTGCTAAACTAAAGACTCACCACCGAAAAAACTTTTGAGATGTCTGGAGATTTAAACCAAGTGTCTCTGTCCTCTACACTTCAAGTGATTTAACAGCTAGTTAAATGTCCCAACAGGGAAAATACAGATATGGTTTGTTTAACATCAGGGATTAATTCACCTACTTTGAGGCCTGCTTTTGGCATGGTGGTCTTTTTCTTTTTGCATGAGCCCCTTCTTCAGAGAAAACATTTGATTACAGGAACCTAAGCATGTGTTCCAAAAAAAAAAAACTTAAGAAAAAGCCACAGGAATGTTTTGAATTTACAGATTAAAATAAACACTGTGTGCCCCATACAGACATAAATATACCAATATGTTTTTGTTTTTATAGGGGAGGTTTTGTCCACATTGAAGTTTAAATAATCCATGTGACACTGAACAGAGATTTAGAAGAAAAGGCAAAGATACCTCCTTTTAGAGGAAGCAAGAATTCAAAATGTAGTCATTTGTTCTGATTCTCTAACTTTGCTGATGCCTTTAAAGGTGTAGAATGCAGGACAAGAGCAGATGTAGTTGGTGACATTTCAATGATGCTTTTTAAACTCAGAGGGACTGGGTATCTTGTGGGTTTTCTGTGGGTCACCACTCATGTGAGAATGAATGGGAATTAAATGGCTGATGCTGCTGCCAAGGCCAGCTCAGAGGTATAGTGGAGGATTTTCGTGAATGTTTGAAAAGACCTGCCCTCTCCACTGAAAAAAAATTAAGCACAAGTACAACCCTGTACCCACTCCCGAGAGGGAACGCCTATTAACCGCATGCGAGAGCATGAACAAGCCCATTTGTCCTCCTGCACGCTCTGTTTAAAAGTTCCTTTAACATAGTTGATTCACGCTTACTTTCCAAAAGAAGATTTGCAATTTCTCCACTATGTCAGACTCACCCCCGGTAAGGGAATATGGGGAAGAGCATGTAGGACAGCCTTATGTAAGCATCTCATTAGAATGATTGACAATTAGGAAGACCACTTATTTTGATGATCCACCCGGAAAAAGAACTATCCTCCACTATACCTTTATGGAAAGACACACTTATGTGAGGTGTTCCTTTTGGTGAAATGGAATGCTTTAGTTTTGTTAATGCTATAATAAAAAAACGTTGGCAGCATGTTTTGAAAACAAAAAGTAGAGGAATACACCTTTACTCTATTGTTTCAACAACAGAGCAGAAGAATATTTTATTAGTTGTCTCACGGCAAGATGATGTCAAGTTGTCAAAGACATAGGCTGGGACACTGTGGGTTAAACAGTGGATCTAAGGTGATTGGGAAAGAGTTGGGAATGTTTTCAGTTTTATGGCGTCCCTGAAACATTTTTTGTGAAATGTTACAGTGTCCTTTCTAGGGTAGATAGAGAGGACATGTTTACTGAATTGACTTCTTTTTGGTACAATTCTTTTTCATTAAAACAATAATAGGACAGGGAGTCTCGCAAAAGAAAAAATGTGGTTTGTTTGAGTTTGTTTAAAAAAAAAGGAATATATTGGAAAATATAAGAGTTTTATCTCTATCCCGATATAGTTTTAATAGTAATGTAATGAGGGGGCAGCATAGTGCTTAATGTGCCTAGACTGCTGGAAATCAAGAAGAGGAATAGACCTCCTTTGCTGGCAGAGCGTTGTCTGGATGACCGTCTTAGTGGACGACGTGGCGGTGTGGAGCTGTCCAGATGATATCTGCTGATGACATTCTGGTTTGCTAGCACTGGGGATGCATTCTTATCGGCTGGCTCATCCACACCTTCTCTGCTGTTGTTGGCCTGGCGATGGGTACGGGAATGTGAACGTAGGCTGAGTTTCCGCCGCAGTTCAGGAAGCTTCTTCATCTTTAAAGAAAGCTTTCTAACGGTACCGGGGGACCTCAATCTTTCCATCACGCTACCAGTGCCTCCCCCTTTCTTCAAGGAGGTGGGACTTGAGTCTAAAGGAAGGGAGTCTGAAAGAGACAGATAATCAATGAGCAATCCACTGTAACCATGCAACTGGTGGAAAACAACATTTTACCTGGGATTTCTTCCTTTATTTCGTCATTCTTGTGACTGACACTTGGATTGGCATCCTGTGGACTGTCACTGCTACAACTTTCTCCTTTGAGAACAACCGCCATCTTCTCATCCCTTCTTTTCCATACCTCCTCCTCTCTAGGGGGACCTTCTCCATCTTCCTCCTCAGGGATAGGATTGTACCAGATATTGCTGCTGTCATTTTCCCGAGGACTGCAGACATCATCTGCAGCCTGCGACTTTCCTGAGGACAACACCCATGCTCGGCTACTCCGATCCAGGCTCTGCAGATAGGATCGCTGGCCTGAAAGTTTGGTACTAACACCAGGGTTGGAAATATCAGTGGGGGCCCCTGCAGACTGGGAGACTTCATGCATTGTGGTGGTAACTAGAAAGCATGGCGTGTTGATCGTATCTCTAGTTGATGTTGTTTCAGCAAATGAAGACATCGACACAGGTTGAAATCTCTAAGGGGAAAAAGGTGCAACGAAAGAAGACAATCAATTACCAGGTCAGAACAAGACTTAATCACACTGCGAAGAGAAATACCATATTAAAAGGCTTAAATTGAAAGAAGGGATGACTTAAAGTCCTAGGAAAACGGCTGTTCCAACCGTTGCATTTCCAAATTCTTGAAAGTCGAAAGGTGCCCGAGTGAAAAAAGTGAATGTGATTAGTCGTTTATCAAGGGGGTTCGCAGGCTAACCAGTTGGTAACTTAGTGCTAGTAGGTTCCCAGTGGGAAATTATATTGGGACCAAGTAGCACTAAATTGGTTACTATGGACAGCGGAAACATTAAAGAGGAGGAGAGTTTTGTGTCGGAGGTCATGAATGAGTCTCCTCTGTCATACATTTTTTATTTAGAGGAGTAAAGCGGGGCCAAAGTTGTTGTGGAAGAGGACACCATGGCGGCAGAAGCTTCGTTTGGTGTAGAAGGCTTACAGCCGTACATGTTTGAGCCCTTGCCTCGCAACGCTGCCAGTTGTGTTAGCTCTACGCCTGCAGAAGACAGAGACGTCCATCCCTGTGAACACTGGAACGTACACTATATTGCCAAAAGTATTTGCTCACCTGCCTTGACTCACATATGAGCTTAAGTGACATCCCGTTCCTAATCCATAGGGTTCAATATGACGTCGGTCCACCCTTTGCAGCTAGAACAGCTTCAACTCTTCTGGGAAGGCTGTCCACAAGGTTTAGGAGTGTGTTTATGGGAATTTTTGACCATTCTTCCAGAAGCGCATTTGTGAGGTCGCACACTGATGTTGGACGAGAAGGCCTGGCTCTCAGTCTCCGCTCTAATTCATCCCAAAGGTGTTCTATCGGGTTGAGGTCAGGACTCTGTGCAGGCCAGTCAAGTTCATCCACACCAGACTCTGTCATCCATGTCTTTATGGACCTTGCTTTGTGCACTGGTGCACAGTCATGTTGGAAGAGGAAGGGGCCAGCTCCAAACTGTTCCCACAAAGTTGGGAGCATGGAATTGTCCAAAATGTCTTGGTATGCTGAAGCATTCAGAGTTCCTTTCACTGGAACTAAGGGGCCAAGCCCAGCTCCTGAAAAACAACCCCACACCATAATCCCCCCTCCACCAAACTTTACACTTGGCACAATGCAGTCAGACAAGTACCGTTCTCCTGGCAACCGCCAAACCCAGACCCGTCCATCAGATTGCCAGATGGAGAAGCGCGATTCGTCACTCCAGAGAACGCGTCTCCACTGCTCTAGAGTCCAGTGGCGGCGTGCTTTACACCACCGCATCCGACGCTTTGCATTGCACTTGGTGATGTATGGCTTGGATGCAGCTGCTCGACCATGGAAACCCATTCCATGAAGCTCTCTGCGCACTGTTCTTGAGCTAATATGAAGGCCACATGAAGTTTGGAGGTCTGTAGTGATTGACTCTGCAGAAAGTTGGCGACCTCTTCGCACTATGCGCTTCAGCATCCGCTGACCCCGCTCCGTCAGTTTACGTGGCCTACCACTTCGTGGCTGAGTTGCTGTCGTTCCCAAACACTTCCATTTTCTTATAATACAGCTGACAGTTGACTGTGGAATATTTAGGAGCGAGGAAATTTCACGACTGGATTTGTTGCACAGGTGGCATCCTATCACAGTTCCACGCTGGAATTCACTGAGCTCCTGAGAGCGACCCATTCTTTCACAAATGTTTGTAAAAACAGTCTGCATGCCTAGGTGCTTGAATTTATACACCTGTGGCCATGGAAGTGATTGGAACACCTGATTCCAATAATTTGGATGGGTGAGCAAATACTTTTGGCAATATAGTGTAACTCAATGGTAAAGTAAATTATTCTTATTTTTTATTTAAACTATTGCATATATTAGCTGCAACATATGAATCAAGACGCTATGACCGAAAACACTTTATTGACAGATGACCATTGATATATGATTGGCCGAATTTAGGTGTACAGACCAACATATAACTAAAACAGATTTTAAGACAGGATTTTTTTTTTTAAATACTAATTTTATAAATTTTGGGACAATATAGTCAGATAAAGAGTACATTTATATACATGTTTAAGCCAGAATGATTTGACATTTTAATATGACTTCCCTGACTTTAAACTCTCGGAATGTGCTTTTTTTTTATATTCAGGAGGAACCAGAACTATGTTCTGTGTATTCATGATAGAGTCTAAATGAAAAAAATATTTTTTTCAGAATACCTTGTCGTGCACAGCGCTGTCGTTCCAGGTCTGTCTGGGACAATCAGGCAACGATGACCACTGGTCAGATGTTGGGAGGCTAGAGCTCATAGAGGAAGGGGAAGCTGAGGCTCCCTGCCTCGCCCATTGTTGTTTCTTAGCAACTGTGATATGATTTCTGGAAGGTGAGGTTGGTTCAGGTTGGGATGCATTTATAGAGTTGGAAGGGGTCATCAGTGATGGTGATGATGGCGATGAAGATAACTGGATGGTGGCAGAGCTGACTGGAGTCTCTAAAGCAAACACACATTAATTAAATGTATCCTTCATTGGCGGTTCACCATTATTAGCACCCAAAAATCGTAAACACACTTTTTCTCTTCAAATATTTTAAATTGAAAGGATTCAGTGCAATAATACAAAAATAGACATAGGTATAATCTATTCCCCTCTAACCAACCTCTCAAAGTGTTTCTTACTGTTCACTTAACAAGATCTGATTGTACTTTTCTTCTATAAGTGAAATCCCTAGGCTCCATGTTATTTCAAACTCTTCCGTATCATCAATGAGAATGTACTGAATCCTCTCCAGATGTAGGGTATCAGTCATCGAAGAGATCCAGGCCTTTAAAGTTGTGACCTCTTTCTTTTTCCAGACTAACAATATGAGCTGCTTTGTACAGAGGAGTTCCATGGATAGAAGAGGTTGCTTTAAGTTTTGCTATCTGACAAACTCTTCTGATGCACCCAGAATAACGGAAAGTACATCCAATACATTTTTGATTTTACCATTTTGAATTTTACTCCTAAATTACTGCAGCCTGGAACAAACTATAGAACTATGAGAACGATCTGTGTCTGCCTGATTACACATCCCACCAATTGTTGGTATATTTGGGAAGGTTTTGTGTATTTTTAACCATGAGTAGTGCTGTATGAGGCAATGTCCAATATTCAGGGAGCACAGATTTAAAGCCTTTCCCATGTATCATCTGTTATTTTCCTTCCAATATCATGTTACCACTCTCTTTTAAATCTATCTGACTTTGTTTGTCTTTATACTTCTAATATCTCAAAATTAATTAGAATGTACAATCCATTGCTTTGGACTGTACATTCTCTGAGACACTGATCTAATTTATCCAGTGTGGCACTTTTCAATTTATGAAAAAGTGTTCTAACAAAGTTCCTAGCCTGCAGGTATCTGAAGAAATCTGAGTTAATCAATCCCCATTTCTTCTGCAGCTCATGAAAAAAAGCTAAAAAAAACACCATGCAAGTCCGTGACACACCGTAATCCCAGTTCTTGCCAGCAATCAAAAGCACCATCTACACACTTTATTTTTATTAGCTTTGATTAGCTTCAGCTCTTGTAACAGAATGGCTTGTCTGTTTCTTCGGATAATGGCACTGACCTTTTTGGAGCTTTGAGGCTTTGCTATCAGAATTGCAGACACACAGGGTTGCAATCCTCCAGCACAGCTCTAGCAGTGAATACTTCAGGCCAGCTTTGTGATCATAAGGACAGTTAGTCCAAGATCCAAGCCTATGGGTCACCATCAGCCTCTGCAGGTTTCTAACATATTTGTGAGTGACATGGCACCTGGCATGCCAGTTTAGGTGTATGGTATATGCCATTTTGGAACCAGCTTATGCCAGTTGAGATTTCACTAGCTCAGTAATACATTCGCTGACAAGACCCCAGCATTTAATGGGAGGTAGACTGTAAGATCGCTCCACCTATGCAGAAGTGTACCACAGGCAGAAGTAACCCGCACAATAAAATTGAAGATGTAATGACAGGGATAGTGAAGATCCCAGTATTACCAGAGGCTTTTGGTAAGGTATTTTTGTTCAGAAAGTATTTTTGTTTTGTTTATTTTGACTTGATGTAATGACACCTAAGTATGCTAATCAGAGGTTTTGAAAACAAAAAAAGATGTCAGCTTTTATTACCAATAAACTGTACATGCTAGTACCACTAAATTAGACATCAGGATGCACCGATTCTGGTATTGGGCCATAGATAGTAGTGAAGTACTCATAAAAACAATTTGATCATCCATCCATCCATTATCTGACACGCTTGTCCCAAGTGGGTTCACGAGGGGTGCTGGTGCCCATCTCCAGCTGTCTATGGGCGAGAGGCGGGGTACACTCTGGACAGGTCACCAGTCCATCGCAGACAATTTGATCAAGAAATTGTTGTTTTTTTTATAATCATGGAATTAAAACTGATTTAGCCAATGCTGAGATGTGAGTACTTGTACCCCTAAACGGCTTAAAGGTTACTGCTGTCGGTGCATCTCTGTTAGACATGTTTCACACCTTTGGAGTTGGGCACCTTTAAACTAGTGTCATGCAAGGTTATGATTCTACCTGCTTCAACGCCTGATACAAAATTACATTTCTTAGGGTTGTCAGCAAGGTGCACGGGAGCCTTTTAATTAAGCAATTAAGTTTCAAGTACATTTAATTAGGTTTATTTATATAACACCAATGCCATCTGAAGGTACAGAGTCGGCTCATTTTAATAATTTATATTGATAATATTTTTTTCTAAGGAAACCAAGAGGATTTTATTCCAGGCTCTTGCATGCATCAAATAGGAACACCTGCAAAATGCACGCCTCCTGGATGAACCTATAATGACAGTAGAGAGTTCCTTGCATAGTTTTATTGACAGTGTAATTTACCCAGTATGTATGCAGGGACAGTGAAGAGGAAATTTCCCATGAATATGAAGAAGAAAAAAAAATCCAGCAGAAGCAGAACCAGACACAGTGTGAACGGCCCTCTGCCACAACTGACGGAGGGTTTCAGCAAACAGAGCAGAGATAAACAATCATTTAATTTAGGCCCCATCCAGATGAAGCTGGGTTTGATTGTATATGACAAGCTTCTTGGTTATAAATCTCATCAAGACCATGTGGCGAAGAAACCAACTAGATCTGAAAGCAGCTTCCAAAGTTTCCATCCAACCAAAATAGTGAAAATAGTGGACTAACCATGATTTGGTTTTCCACCCTTCAGTGCACATTTTTCTCTGCCTGGCCACCCTAATGAAAATGTCAGATGCCCCCACTAGTTTTAAAACTAGGCAAACTAGGCTCAAAGCTGTCCTTGCTCAACTCTTTCTCCTACAGCTGTCTAATTTAGCACTTTGACACAAGCAGCAAAATGCTGTGAAGGTTAACTATACTTTGAAAGCATCTAATTTCTCTCCTGACAAATGACTTGGCTTTTTGCAGACTTGAAAAGACACAGAAATTAACCAAACTGTATTCCAATGGAATTAAAAGGGAATGCTGCTACAACCGAGTCTTTATACTGGGGATGTCCTTTGGTCCACCTGTTTGGTTTAGACCAAACACTGTTTGCTTTCTTAGTAAACTTTTTCAAGAGAACTATAACTTATAACAAACCCACACATGCAACAGTCATTGCTCCCAATGGACAGAAATAAGTAGGAGTACAGACCTGGAAATCAAGCAAAACCACTGGGGTAGTCTTGCTCTGCAGCACCTCTGTTGTGCATATCTGTGCTGTTATTACAGCTGGAAAATCATAGTGTAGAGTGTCACTACAGCTCATTAAAATTTTTTTTTTTTTTTAGAAGTTTTATTTCTGATTTTGGAACCGAGTTGGAGAATGCTTTCTGCATGCCAGAGACCTGCAGCATGGCAGCAGATCTGCTTAGCAACAGACTGTGGATCAAACAGTTTCAGTACTTTGTTTGCTGCTACGCTGACTTTTTAAGTCCAAAGAGACGAATAATTTTGGACAATGACTCAAATCAAGCTAATTTTGTATTCACATCAGAACTTAACCAGTGGATAGAAGTGCCATCCAAGTAGAAACTTAAACAAAAACATCAATTGGGGGTATGTCCAAGAAGAACCAACCATCTGGAAGTCGGCCAATTTAAGTCAAGAGTCGTTTTGGAGGCTTTTATATATTTTGAACTGAAACAATCTCCTCCTAGGACTGTCGAGCTATTGGCTTGAAATTAAGGTGACCAGGCTTGCTTATCTAGTGCTGTGAAGGATTAAGAAAATTACTGTCCAGAGGCATGTGTAGATGCCCAATAAGCCAGAGCAGCTCGGAATTGTGAAGAGTGGAAAACACTGTTTGCAGATTTAAAGGGGGGAAAAGTATTTTCCATGAGCTACGAATTTTTAAACCAGTAGCTCACCCTGGTTACATGCAAAGGTCTACAGATTAAAATGTTTATTTATTTTTTCTCTGTTAATAAACTAACTTTGAACGACCATGTGAACACATGACCGCAGGTACAATATTTTGCATTAAACCTATTTCATGTCTATGGGGGAAGCAATGAAGTTGAGCAAGTCATTAAAACTCACAAAGAAAAATAAAAAGCCCAAGATTAAGAGTAAAAAATGCAAAACATGATTTTTCAGGAGGGATAAGAGACGAGTCCGGGGAAACAAAATCTGAATGTTGTTGAATGACCTAAAGCTTCAGAGGATTTCTGATTTCTCTGTCCTGTCAATGGAGGTATGTAATGGGTGCAAAATATTCACCATAGTTCAAGTTTCCAATTCCATGATATAAACTGTCTGCAAATGATGCACAAAAATATGTGTGTATGCTGTAGCGCCCGGTGCAAAAACCTTCTAGGATCTAAAAGGAGTGATTGATCACTATCAGGAGGAACACTTGGCATGGTTGTTTTTAAGATGAATAGATGGTTTTCGGTGTTATTTCTAGCCACGTAAGTGACTAGGCCAATTAATTTCACTGTAATTTCTGCCACTCCACGTTATCATCTCTTGTTTTCTCTTAGTTCTCTTTTTTCCTCCTCATACAAGTAGCACCTTACCCTGAATTTCTGCTTATACGTGTTCCTGTCCTGGGTAAATTCACTAAAGAAGCTACTGCTGCTCTCAGCCCTTATTTTAAACAGAAACTACTCCTGGGTCAGTGCTTTTTGTTTTCTCAAACCCTCAGTTAGTTGATATTCAGCCTGGTTCTGGCTCTCAGTTCTGAAAAACACTGTGCATCTCTGTAGAAGTGTGATCCTCGTGACAGGCAGTGCGCACACTGTCTCACTGAGCTACATGAATAAACTTAGTTGTTCTGTTGAATGGGATTTATCCATGATTCTTGGTGTCTCTAATGTATTTATCTGTTTGGGATCTCACTGTGTGAAACGTGAACACCATCTTCCTGTGTTCTGATTATTTTATTGGTTACAGTTGAGACTAAATAAAGAGTTAAACATTTCTAACCAATAGAAAGACCTGGAACTATTCCACTCTTGGTCAAATTAAACTGTGCCAGTGTAGAAATGGAACACCAGCAGGTTTAATTTCCCTTTTATGAAGGACCTCCTTTTATGTTGGCACCTCCAATCTCTGCAGAGAGTCACTCAGGTTTTATGTTTTAACCCAATCTAGGCTGAGACAAGTGGACTGTTAGATAAACAGCTGAAGATGATCCCTAACACATGTCTCCGCTTCATCTTACAATCCAACAGGCCATCATCTCTGTCTCTGCTGGGTTTCACGTAAGACGAGTTAAATGTCTATGATCCAGCAATGGAAGAGTTTAGCTTAGTTAGTTTGGCTTCTTTGACCCACTGACTCAAGTGTTAGCCTCTTTGGATATTGGTTACAGATTTGAGAATCATTTTCAAAGTTATTTTATTTGTTCTTAATGAACTTGTGCCATTATATCTGTCAAACCTACCACACCACCAGTGCTCCTACTCAGCTCAGCAGACCAGAAGCTGCTGGTTGTTCCAAAATCAGAGGAAACTATGAGGTGACTGAGTATTTCTGTTGTTGCTCTGTAACAAGTTACCTCTGCATATGAGGCAGGCTATTTAGTAGATCTCAAAAATGTTGTTTGAAAACAAACTTGCACTCCATCCATCCATCCTCTTACGCTTATCAGTGTTCGGGTCTTGGAGGTCAGCAGATTCAGTAGAGAGGCCAAGACGTCACTCTCCCTAGCCACTTGAGCCAGCTTCACCGTTGGTGTTCCCAGGCCAGCCGAGAAATATAGTCTCTCCAGCTTGTCCTGGGTCATCCTCTGAGTCTCCTCCCAGTGGGACGTGCCCAGAACATCTCACCAGGAATGCGGGCAGGAGGCATCCTAACCAAATGCCCGAGCCACCTCAACTGGCTCCTCAGGACATGGAGGAGCAGTAGCTCTAATCTGAGTCTTCCCCTGATGACTGAGCTCCTCACCCTATCTCTAAAGGAGAGCACAGATACACTACGGAGAAAACTCATTTTAGCCCCTTGTATCCAAGATCTCGTTCTTTCAGCCATGACCCAAAGCTCATGACCATAGATGAAGGTAGGAACGTAGATCAACTGGTAAACCAAGAGCTTTGTCTTTTAACTCAGTCCCTCTTCACTACAACGGACCGGTACAGCGCAGGCTTCACAGCAGATGCCGCACCACTCCGCCTGTTGATCTCCTGCTCCATCTTCCCTCCATTCGTAAACATTAATTGTAAAAAGTTAGTCAGATTTGGATTTGCTGCTTCCGGCTAGACAGGAAGCGACACATTTAAGCTGGGAAAACTATGTCTGATTCCAGGAGCAGCAGCACCAGGTTCCTCAAGTCCTCTGCTCCTTTCCCCCTGTACCACAATAACTCCACCTCCAGTCAAGAGTCCATCAAGCTCCTGAAGTTTGTTGATGACATCACCCTCATTAGATCTGTCTACAATGTGCTGGTGCAGTCCTCCTTCTTCATCCTGACCTCCATCACTCAGGATGTCAGAGAGCTGAATGTGAAGATGAACTAGTAACTAGAAAAGTGCAGCCTGCCTGTCAGTGATTGTGCACTTTTACTCTGCCATCATTGGCCCTGTCCCAAAACTCCCACAACACCCTCTAGAAAGTTTGTACTTGGCCTAAGTGCACATAAAGTTTCAAATGTGAAGGTTACAAGATTGCAAATATTAGAGAATTGGGACAGCAAGAGTTAGTCTGTACTTGTGCTTCTGCATCGTAACTGAGACAAAAAAAAAAAAAATACAATAAACAATGGGACCAATAATTTTTTTTACAATCCTACAGCCAAAAACATGATTTGAAAACTACAAAAAGTTTAACTTTGTATTAACATGTGTAGAGTACAGTAAAATATGGATTGTTATAATAAATAAACCATGAAAAAGATTTTCCGTGACACAAAAAAAAACATTATCTTAAACACATAAAAAGAAAAACATTTTCTGGTCTGGCATTTAGAGGCCACTTCTTCCTTAAGGCGGTCTTCCACTGACCTACTCCTGCATTTACTCCTTTATTTATTTATTTACTTGGGATATTCCTGAGCCAGTGCTTAAGTGTTTTGTTGTGTATCTTTTTTGTGTTTGCATACTCCCATCTGGTCAGCGCAAATTACCCAACATAGCTTTGTCATCTTGTTTTTTTGTTCTATTTAAAATACAATCAGATTGATTTAATCAGAATCATCAACACAAACATTTACTCTACCACATATTATGAATAACCAACCATTAGTAACTCCAATGCCTGTACAAACTGTTCATCATCCATTGCATTTATCAGAAAATTTTTACAAATGTCCTGTGGCGAATAAAATAGCACTGCTCTTGCAGTCAGTGAACTGCCTGACGGTTCTGATGGTTCTGTACGACTGTTTCCTGAAGCTAGATCCGGGACCAAACAGGAAGTGACACTCTCCGGAGGCTGGCTTCGCTTCCTGTCATCTGAGGGAGCCCGAGATCCAAAAATGGTCCATCTGTTCCTGATTTTAAACTGTGCAAGGGGGGAGGGCTAAATAAACAGCTGCACAGATGTGAAAGAAGCTTCTGTGTTCAACACACACTGCTGAGTATTCACTATTCATAACACCCCCCCCCACCCAACACACACACACACTAATTAGAGTCACAACGACACAGAAACTGAATTTCAGAGCAAAATCCTATTGGACTGTGTTAGAATGTTGGTACTGTCAGGTTCTGGGTTGCATCTCATTGGGTTCTATTTCTGACTAGTGCATTTGTTTATACAAGTCAGAAGTGAAAGATCTTTGCAACAAGTTCCACTTTGTCTCCATCGAAGTCTCCAAAGGGTAAATCTAAAACTCTGCTGAGAAAATGAGATGATTTAACCAAATGTTGCTCCTAAAGCTGTTAAAAATGTGAGAACCCAGTCCCACTTTAAACGCAGTAAATCCTGGTTTAATGTGAACAGAAGCAACCAGTGATCATACAAGATGGAACAACAGATTTCTGCAATCAGTCCAGCTAACTGCAGCATCCCAGACACAAACAGGAAGTCCCAGCACACACATTCAGCTAATGACAGGAAACGCTAAGTTGATCCAGTCCATTTTTGAAGGAGGTCCTACTTCACTAAATGACCCAAGTACAGTTTTAAAGTTGCTCTGGAGTCTGTACTCCTAGGATCCAATAGCTTAAATGTGAGACTGTGGTTCTTGTTCGCATAATCAGAACCTGCTATTGATTTCTAACCAGGATCACCTTCACTGCCCACAATAATTCAAATAAAATCCTTCCAGGATTCCAGAATCTGAAGGAGCATGCGCTTTTTCTCCGGTTATTTCTCCACTGGCTGATTGAATCCCTTTCCAGATCCTGCTTGCAGAGTTTGTAGTAACTATGTTAACTCAGCCATCCATGCAAAAGTTTCCTCTATGAAAACACGATCAGAAACCGGATCAATAAGTCCTTTAAAAAAAAAAAAAACAACATTCAGGTCAGATTACAACAGGTATACTGGTTACATAAGGTTTAGGGATGAACCATGCAGAGATTATGCCATCAGTCTGTTGGTACAACATCTTGAGCTGTTTTCCTCCTAAACACTATGGATAGCCATATCTCCATGGAAACATAAACCTGTGACATCAAGAAAAGGGATTTATTTCATTTGGACTCCATATCTACAGAAGGAGTCCATCAATCTGAGAATCCTGTTTTTGGTTTGGGTCTGAAAGAGGTGGTTCTCAAGCAGTCTAGTTTTTTTTTTTTTTTTTTTTTTTTAAAGGATCTTAAATAGTTTAAGACAACTATCATAATACATTCACTGATTCTAACAAAACTTATAAACAAACATGATGCATTCACTGACTAACTAGTTTTACTAAAAAACATGATGCAATAACTACTTTGAATAAAGTTACTAATCAACATGATGCATTCACACACTCAGGTAAGTTATTCAAATAAACATGATGCATTCAATGACTGAATAAAGTTCCAAAAAACATGATGCATTCACTGACTCAGGAAAGTTATTCAAATAAATATGATGCATTCAATGACTGGCTAAAGTTACTTATTAAAAAAACAACAACAAATGACAAAAAACATGATCAATTTACTGACCATGAGCAAACTTTATACTCAACATGATCACGTTTAGTATACATGAGTGTATACTAAACGTGATGGATTCACTGACTGAGAAAAATTACCACAAAAAAACAGGATGCATTCCATGACTAAGTAAAGTCACAAAAAATATGATGAATTAACTGACTTCAACTAAAGTAACTACCAGTAATTGACATGATGCATTCACTGACTGACTACGTTACAAAAATAAAACATGATGCATTCAATGACTGAGGAAAGTTCCAATAAAACATGATGCATTCAATGTCTGACTAAGGTTAAACACAAACATGATACATTCACTGACAATGAGCAAACTTTATACTCAACATGATCCCTTCACTGACTGAGGAAAATTGCTTCAAGTAATCAAGATGTTGCATTCACTGTATGACTTTATTATTTATTATTGATTGCATTTATTTATCCGGGTAAAAGCTGGAGATGGTGAATGTGACATCATGGTAGCTTCCGTACCAACTCTGACTTAAGCTGACCATCATGACACATTCAGTGACCCACTGAGAGTTGGAAAGAAGAATCCTCACCGTTAAGTTTGGGGTCTGTCTTTCTCCGGCTCCTGTCTTTACCCCTCAGTCTGGAGAAGGTTCTTCTGAGCAGTGGTTCAGCCATGCTGCGCCTCCTCCTCCTGCAGGAGTACAGAATTTAGCAGGAGAAGCAGGAGTCAGTCATGTGCCTCTCCCTAAGGCAGAAGTCATGGATTCAGCATTCCTGCAAGAGAAGCAGGAGCCAGTCCTGTTTCTTCTCCTGGGGCTTGAAGTTAATATTCCAGCAGGAATAGTTAAAGTCCCCACTGAGTCATCTCCTCTTGAAGCAGGAGTTCTGGAATTAGTCCTCCAGTAGAAGAAGCAGCAGTGTGTGCTGCGTCTCCTCCTGGAGTCAGGTCAGGGTTTCAGTTGAAGAAGCAGCAGTGTGTGCTGCGTCTCCTCCTGGAGTCAGGTCAGGGTTTCAGTTGAAGAAGCAGCAGTGTGTGCTGCGTCTCCTCCTGGAGTCAGGTCAGGGTTTCAGTTGAAGAAGCAGCAGTCTGTGCTGCGTCTCCTTCTGGAGCAGGAGTCCTGGATTCAGTATTCCAGCAGAGGAAGCAGGCGTCTGTGCTGCGTCTTCCCCATGCTCTGGAGGAAAGCTTCAAACTTGGCCATGACTCCTTGTCTCCTCCTCACTGTGAGAGCTGCTCGACAGGAAATGAATTCCAAACATTCTTTCCCAAACTCCCCCTCTGCTCCACCTCCCACTCTCCACCCTCTACTGGTGGAGGAAGGACACAGCACGGATGGCTCACAGGACCTGTAGTTTGAAAGGTTCTGATCCACTTTTGCCACCTTTTGTGGCACAGTGTAATGACATTATTCCAGAGTGACAGAACAATCTAGATCAGACCCAAACCACCTCTGGATCTGGTCTGTCAGCATCTCTTTAGTTTCAGTCTGCTTGAACATTTGAACATTTTCAAATAGGTTTTAGACTTCACCATAGCACACAAACAGAACTGATTAAATTCTCAAATATTTTTATTCCTATTCCATCAAAATCCTCTCCTAGAAAGACTTGAACTTGCTGTTGGAATTAAGGGAACTGCACTATGTTGGTTTACATCTTATTTTGTCCAACAGATTCCAGTTAAGTCAGGCTTACTTTTGGAGTACCACATGGTTTACTGCTTGGGCCAATTCTCTGTACTATAAACGGAGTATACAGAAAGTATCCAGAGCGACATTTATTTCTGTTACAGCCTTATCTTAAATCACCCATTAACATAGTTTAAAAAGTTGCTTTGAGATTGCTACCAATGTATTAAAATGTAAGCAGATTACATCTATGTAATTCTTTAAAAAAGTTTATAATGTTTTTTTTTATATACATATTTTGTGCAGTCTCATTTTCCTGTTTGTACAGTGTGATTAGTGTAGACCGGTCCTGAACTGGTTTTTGGTATCGGTTTTCCCTCTTGAGTGCAGATTAGTTCCCGCCAGGCCATCCCAATGAAAATGTCCTTGCTCTGCCACTGCCTTAAGGATGGAATTGACCTGGCGATGAGTGTTGCATCATCCAATCAAAGTGCTTGGTGATAATGCCAAACAGTTCAATCATTGTCTCATACGAGCAGAACATTTTGTTTCTCATGGTGTTTTTCAGATGCCTTTTGGTTAAACACAGATCTGCTACCATATGCTTTTAATTAAGGAGTGGCTTTCTGCTGGCCACCCTGCCATGCAAGATTGATTGGTGAATTGCTGTAGAGCTGGTTGTCCACTGGAAGATTCACCTCGCTAAATAGAGGGACGTTGAGAGCTCTGGCAGAATGACCCTTGGGTTTCTGGTCAGGACCTTCTCTTTCAGTTTAGAACCATTTCTACAAACAGTCCTGATGGGTGGTAGTTCCAACAATCCTGTCTCGGAGGTCAACATAAAATTCATTTTACGTCATGCTCTGTGCTTGCTCTATGACATGTCTGTCACCTGTAGGACCTTATATAGACAGGTGTGTGCCTTTTCTAATAGTTCTCAAATTATACTTATGTAAACCTGGTTAAGGTCTAGTATTTAATAGGTAAGCATTTATTAAATCAAATACAAACTTGCTTACAAACACAGAGCAGCTTCAGCAGGCAGCGCATACAAACTTTTATTTTGCCTTTATAAATGTGCAAAATATATTCTTTTTTTTTTTGCAAAATATATTCTAATGAACAAACTGTATAAGTTTATGGGTGGGGAATGTCCGAATCTAAATACCACGCAACATACAGTTAAAAGTCTGGTGCAAACTTAAATATAAAATAAGTAAGATGTTATTAGTGGGGGAAATTTATGTCTGAGCTGGCCAGCTGCATATACACAATGTTTATAAAGAAAAAGCTTATTTTAATACCAGGGTTTATACATGAATGAGTAACTCTTATTTAATGCTTTTTTAATACTCTTGTAATGCTCTTAGAAATAATCTTAATGCCATCAACAAATACCCATGACTTATATATATATATATATGTATATATACGGCAAAATCCTTTACCATCTTCACCATGGACAGGCTGCAGCCATGTCCCGAGTTCCTCGTTTTCCCGCCACTTTGGTTCAAATTTGCATTTTCCCCATTCTCTAGCCTTTTCTCCGCCTCAAGCTTCTTTTCCGAAGCATTTTAATGCCACGATTATCAAATTTAATGATTTTTAATAACCTGCAGAAACCCTGAATACAGTTTGAAATATATTAGTAACTAATGTGGAAATTGTGCTGCACTGTTAATACTTTATCTAAGTATTGTGCAAGCTTTGAATAGGTATAAAAATCAGAGAGCATACATTTCTTACCTTGTCTGGAAAGTACATTTCCACAGTATTAGTGTGTTCACAAACCCACAAGAAACCACTTCGTCCCACTCCTACCTCAAGCATTCGAGAACTGAAGATAGAGGCAACCAGGTGCATTGCAGTGTTATGTGTTTAAGGAACGGCATACAGCTTTGAAGAAAAGCAAGAGCTGTGGACCCCAAAGCCTAATCTAAACAAAGACAGCAGCTGAGGAGGACGCACGCGCAGCTGCTGCTATCTGTTTAATCAGAATACACAGGTTGTGTTTCGATTTCAGAGGCTGCATCCTCCAAGGATCCGGTCTACCTGGACTGGGTCCTTCATGGTCCGTGAAAATAAGGAGGCCGGAAGAATTTTGGTTATGGATTCAAACAGGTCCATCCTTCTCTGGCTTTCACGGCTCGTGCGCTATGTTGCCTAGCAACCATGACATTTCTCTCATTACCGTTCTGGGTACTAATTACATTGTCAAGGAGTTTCAGCAGCAAATATCAGATTTATAATCTGCACACCGCAGATATATTGGAATCAGGGACAGATAAAACCTTTCAACAAACCCAACATATCTGACTCAATAACAATTTAAAACAACTATATTCATTCATTTCAGACAGAACTAGTCACATGCTTGTTACTGCACTTCCAATTTTCACCGCTGTTCAGCGCCATTTACCTTTTTCATATGAGCACGGAGCAGCCGCTTGCTTGTACTCGCAATGAATCATGGGATACTCAAGGCTACGTAGGATACAACAGATCTGTCCTTCAAAACGGGCAAAAAGAAGGCTGCATTTGTCTGTCGCATAACGAGGAGTCTTGCAATCCGAACAGGGCTCGCCGCCGCGCTGTGATGTAATTGGCCGACGAATTTGGTCTCCGGAGGACGCGGCCCCTGAATTCAAACTCGGCAATGATTTCATGTTTGAAAGAGGAACAGCAACAAGTGCTTTTTGGGTGACAAATATATTGTTTGGGTTTTTACTTACTGTTTGACTGACACCAAACTTTAGCAGGCGGTACCTGGTGTCACTACGTGAGCTCTAAGGAATCCCATAATCCTTTGGTGACATTACGTAAAGGTTCAGATCACCTCCTGGAAGTTAATACTTATTTGCCCCAAGCACCCTGTGTAACCATCTTTATATGTTTGTTTGTAGTAGAGAGCCTCAGACATTCACTAAATTGGTATAGCATGCATTTTTTTGTTAATTCTTTACAGTTGACCTAAACAATGCTAAACAAAGAGTACTCCCTTTTATTTTCCTATCGTTTTTCAATTACATTTTTGAACTCCTAAGTTCCTGCTAAGGAAATACAGCGTACATTCATGTTTTACCATGGCTTCATGATCGACCTTCATTTAGATGAACCTGTCTGAATGAAACCTAGTAATTAAAACTAGGCATGTTGTGCCTATGTTGAGACTAAATTTGGCATCTAAATCTGACTTTTTTAAGCAAATTTTATGAAATACTCCTATTGTGTCAGGTCCAAACCCTAAAATCATGTGCTGACCAACAAGCAAGGCCTTTTCTGGATATCTGTACCCTCTCCCTGTTGCATGGTCCCTGCCTTCCCTACATCCTCAATTTTGGCACATGTGCTGAACGAAAAAATAAAATAAAAAATTGTCTGCCTCAGGATTTACTGTCCTGTTTCTCTGACCCCTGTCATCATAAAATGCTTCAAGACGATCCTCTTGAACTACAAGGACACTGTCTCTAAACATGCTGGCTGTAAAGATCCAGAACCTGGGTTTATCTGTATGTCTTTGCTCCTGGATCAGTTGCTTCCCCACCAACAGTCCCCAGGTAGAGAGGACAGGAAAGCTCCCATTAACTCAACTGACCCTCAACAGTGAGTGTGCTATTATTGACAATCAAATTGTGCAAATTCTAATAATAAAACAAAGATATCTTTATAAAAACATGATTTAGAAAAAAACTCAATGACAAGTTTTAACACTAGGATCAACAATTGCAAGGAGTTAGTAGAAGGACGATGGTGCGACATATTTCTTTAAGAGGTATTTTTTGTATGGAAAGACTGCAATACAATTTTTTTTTTACATTAGCAGAATATTAATGTTTTTTTTTTAATGCCCGTTTGTAACAAGGACGCAGGCAGTGGCACATGGCAGGGTTTTGTTCGCAGCCATTTTCTACACCGACTGCTCGGATAACCACAAAACAAACACGGTTGTAAAGTAATGAGACCCTGCCTGAGGTTTATTACATAACATAATTCATTTTTAGAAGTGACAATCACTCAGACATCAAAGACACTTTCAGACGTTTTATTTTAAAATCATTCTACAGTACAAACGCTGCCTTCTGATTGGTCAGCCTGGAGCAGTAAATGATGTCAGCAGGAAGCTGGTTTACATTCAGTCAGGTTTTATTCAAAAATATAAAAACTTTCATAATAACAGAACCTATGAACAGGAAGACATCTTTTAATTTATCTTTAGTTTTTTTTTTTTAAACACTTTTTTTTACAGACTGGAGCTCTTTCACACCACAGAATAGGGAACATTCTGTGGCTCTTATAGTAAACTGTGTAATAGCCCTTTACTGAGTGATAAGAGAGGCGCTTAACGCCTCACCAGGTCACTAA